ATTTAAGAATTAAAGTTTATTAAAATATTTAAAAATACAAGATTTAATGTTATTTAGGTAGGGAAAGCTAAAATTTATTATGAAGCCTTTTTATGATATAAGCATGAATTACAAGATATTTGAAATCACAAATTTATTGCATAAATTATCTTCAATCTAAAATTATTCTTCTATAAATAAATGACTCAATCTGTAGAGCATTAATGAAATTCTTTATATAAGTAATTAAATCTTAAAATAAGCTGATGGTTGTTCAATTTCTAGGATCTATCTTGTACAACCTACCATCATCTAGAGTATTGTCTAAACTTATCAAACACATAAATTGAATAATAAATGATACCAGGTGATTAATTTAAAATAGTCTTGATTATTTTCACAACAATTTGTTTAAATTTAAAAAATTCTTTTTTTTGACTCAAAATACAAAATACTTGAGTTTAGTATTATTAGTAATTAATTGTATTAACTTTTTCACCACTTTTTTTTTTATAAAGATCTAAGATTTATTGAAAATAGATGTAAAAAATATTTGAAATTCTTAAATTTATTGTATGATACAAAATTAATATATTTTAAAAGAAATGTGGTTCTTTTATATTTAATTAAATCTCATATAATTAAACATAACTGAATTTTAATTTAACCCCAAAATGATTTGCCCTATATATCATAAATAAAATTATATTATTAATAAGAAATAAGATATTTTTCATAATTCTTCAATAAATTATAGTCAATCACGAAAGTCCATTAATAGTAGATTGGATTCATTATCTTACAAATTGGCAAAAAAGGCTTCGTCCTTGCTTTACTTGTCATCAGTTTGATAAGTTTAAATGTGTGGGGAGCTTTGTTTGTTTTTTGTACCTGAATTAACATTAGATTCATAACAATATTAATAATTGATGCTTGAGAGAACTTGCAATCGTTTAGATTCTTTCAAAATAGAAAGATGTTCTTCAAACATGTTGTTGATATCTTTGAACTTCCTCTTTGCCATCACCATAGTAGCTTCTCCATCAATATCTCTGTATTATCTTTTCATTTAACTAATTGCTTTTAAAGTTTCTTGAATCAACTCTACTTATTCTTTAAGATGACTTTTATCATTGGTGTTTTAATTCTAAGCTTTAAGTTTTAGTCTTTGTATCCTGACAAACAAATATTAACTACAAGCCTTCATTATGTTCCTCACATTTGCTTTTTCAAGCAATGCCCAAACTAATTCTTCACTGGTCTCTGCTTACAACATCGAGTAGAGCATGGCAGTAAAAAGAGAAGTATTAGAAACACCCCAAAAGACACAAACAGCCATTGATATTCTACCTAAATCTGTAGTTGGATAGAAATCACCATAACCAACAGTAGCAATAGTTATAAGAGTGACCCAAAGTGATTTGCCTACATTGTAATCACTAAATGAAGTTTCATCACGTAGAAGAGCTCTTTCTGCAATTTCCATGCTATATCCAAATAACAGCATTCCAGCACCAAATAGACCCATCAATGTAAACCCAGGGATGTCCTTCATGCATATTTTGAATACTAAATGTGTATCGAAATCTGTGGAATAGAGTCGGCTAAAAATAGAATGAAAGTAGTTAACCATAATCTTCCAATTTAACTATTGTAAAATGCTTAAAATTTAAGTGCAATATTGATTAATAAGACCACTCGGCAAGTAAGAATGTATGTTAGAATTTCATTCACATAATAGTAGCGTGGAGTATCTGTGTAACGTTCATGAAATGGAACCTTTATTCTCTATGTAAAAGGAGTAGGAGAAGGGATCATCAATAGTACTTCGATTATAAGGCCATATATAAGATTGGAGTCTAGAAGACTAGCCTAAGGGGTAACCATCATAGCCTTTTTTTGGTAAGCTAATAGAACTTAATAGGAGGTTAAAGTAAGAGTGACTATGACAAATATACAATTTACTTGCCACGATTGTCTAAAAGAAAATTAGGTAAAGGAGCAGAGTTGTCTCACTGTCAAAAGTCTGTTCGAATTGATCCTGAAAAGAGCTTTCATACTGAAAAAAGAGAAAACTATAGGATTAGATGTATACCTATAAGATAGCTAGTATTTAGCATGCAAATATAACACAAAATCTGGTCATCTCTACAATACGGTATTTTTCAAAAAGTAACAAGGTTACTCGACTATCTTCAAAAGAACTAGTTTTCTCAGNGTATGATACAAAATTAATATATTTTAAAAGAAATGTGGTTCTTTTATATTTAATTAAATCTCATATAATTAAACATAACTGAATTTTAATTTAACCCCAAAATGATTTGCCCTATATATCATAAATAAAATTATATTATTAATAAGAAATAAGATATTTTTCATAATTCTTCAATAAATTATAGTCAATCACGAAAGTCCATTAATAGTAGATTGGATTCATTATCTTACAAATTGGCAAAAAAGGCTTCGTCCTTGCTTTACTTGTCATCAGTTTGATAAGTTTAAATGTGTGGGGAGCTTTGTTTGTTTTTTGTACCTGAATTAACATTAGATTCATAACAATATTAATAATTGATGCTTGAGAGAACTTGCAATCGTTTAGATTCTTTCAAAATAGAAAGATGTTCTTCAAACATGTTGTTGATATCTTTGAACTTCCTCTTTGCCATCACCATAGTAGCTTCTCCATCAATATCTCTGTATTATCTTTTCATTTAACTAATTGCTTTTAAAGTTTCTTGAATCAACTCTACTTATTCTTTAAGATGACTTTTATCATTGGTGTTTTAATTCTAAGCTTTAAGTTTTAGTCTTTGTATCCTGACAAACAAATATTAACTACAAGCCTTCATTATGTTCCTCACATTTGCTTTTTCAAGCAATGCCCAAACTAATTCTTCACTGGTCTCTGCTTACAACATCGAGTAGAGCATGGCAGTAAAAAGAGAAGTATTAGAAACACCCCAAAAGACACAAACAGCCATTGATATTCTACCTAAATCTGTAGTTGGATAGAAATCACCATAACCAACAGTAGCAATAGTTATAAGAGTGACCCAAAGTGATTTGCCTACATTGTAATCACTAAATGAAGTTTCATCACGTAGAAGAGCTCTTTCTGCAATTTCCATGCTATATCCAAATAACAGCATTCCAGCACCAAATAGACCCATCAATGTAAACCCAGGGATGTCCTTCATGCATATTTTGAATACTAAATGTGTATCGAAATCTGTGGAATAGAGTCGGCTAAAAATAGAATGAAAGTAGTTAACCATAATCTTCCAATTTAACTATTGTAAAATGCTTAAAATTTAAGTGCAATATTGATTAATAAGACCACTCGGCAAGTAAGAATGTATGTTAGAATTTCATTCACATAATAGTAGCGTGGAGTATCTGTGTAACGTTCATGAAATGGAACCTTTATTCTCTATGTAAAAGGAGTAGGAGAAGGGATCATCAATAGTACTTCGATTATAAGGCCATATATAAGATTGGAGTCTAGAAGACTAGCCTAAGGGGTAACCATCATAGCCTTTTTTTGGTAAGCTAATAGAACTTAATAGGAGGTTAAAGTAAGAGTGACTATGACAAATATACAATTTACTTGCCACGATTGTCTAAAAGAAAATTAGGTAAAGGAGCAGAGTTGTCTCACTGTCAAAAGTCTGTTCGAATTGATCCTGAAAAGAGCTTTCATACTGAAAAAAGAGAAAACTATAGGATTAGATGTATACCTATAAGATAGCTAGTATTTAGCATGCAAATATAACACAAAATCTGGTCATCTCTACAATACGGTATTTTTCAAAAAGTAACAAGGTTACTCGACTATCTTCAAAAGAACTAGTTTTCTCAGATAAAATCGTCCCTGTTCTTTTTAATGTTTATTTGTTTGATTTAGCTAATTTGGAACCTTACTTCATCTATTCTATCTCTTGTCTTTATCCGGACATGTAATTAATTTATTAATAATAATAATATCATCAAATATGCCTTCTATGCATTTCAAAGCAAATTTGAAATAAACTATTAATTGAAATGATCATAAAGGACCAGATTCAGCATAAAATGAAAGTTATGATATCAGAAGAAAGGTAGAAAAGTTAATTTGCAAGAGAAATTTAATCAAACTATGTGATGTCTAAAATTAACAAAAAAAAGAGTAGTCATATCTATGGATGATACTCATATAGGAATAATTTATAAGAGAATGATACTGATATAATAATAGCGATTAAATATATTGTCTCTAAGATAGCAGATTATGGATTTTAGTAAGCAATGAAAATGGCAATAATAAAGAGATTGAATGTGATTCTAATATTGGTCCTTGTCATTAATTTTATAAAATACCATTTAGCAAGTAATGAAGCCAATTTAAGAAATAATATTAAAAATTCTAAATGTTCAGCCTAAGGAAAAAAACTAAGATATTAAATAATAAAGAAATTAGATTAAGTCTAGTATTAAATGAATAATCAATCCTTAATAATTGATTTTGCTAAGTAGAAATATAAGCTAGATAAGTTGCAAATTGGATTATTCCAAAAACGAATGAAGAAACTATTTATCTATTAATATCAAGATAAATTCATGCTCTTCATGAGTTTAATAGTTATTTACATGAATAAACAATAGATTGATTATTACTAGCTATAAAAATAATTAAAAAAAGAATATAAAAATATAATGTAAAAGAAATCCATCAGAGTAATTTAGGTAAAAAATAATATTTCTTAAATTATGAGTAAAATCTAATTAAAAAAAAATAAATCATAAATTTTAGCCTTGTAATACAAGAAATACCATTAAAAAATATTAGAATAGATGAACTGAATTAAAAATCAAATAAAATTCAAATAGTATAACGATCGATAAACGATGATCTAGTATACCTTAAATTTGATCATGTATTAATTACTATAGATTCAATAAATTTCTAAAATAGAATTAAAAATAAAAATATATTTTATGGTTTTAAGGCATCTTATGCCTTATATTTCTAATCAAAAGAGATGTGGTTTGCAGCTTTTTAATTATTTTTCCTAATTTTGGCATGGAAAACTGGGCTGAAATTTTAGGAGACATTTTGTTGCTTTGAGATTTTCATAATTGAGTACTTCAATCTATGGGCAAGTCTTGATGTTAATACTCCCCTAAATACAGAGAAAAATTTAAATGAATCATTCTATTGCCAATGGGTTGATTTTACACAGACCTATGGTTTTTAGGTTAATTTATTCACAATTTTGAATATTGTTTTACCATGAAGTAATCTATACAATTATGTAAGATGAGAAATTACATAAGTATTGAAAGTGAATGCAAAATTTATGATATTTCTTCATTCTTTCTGTTTAGTGTTCATATTCTTTTGTTTGTTTTTCAGCCATAAATATAAAAGGGAACAACCAAAACTTGGAGAAAGATGCATCAAAAAATAATCTTAGAAAGGAAATATTTGCCTTTGGCTCATTATGTATTTCAAATTATGTATATCATATCATATAATATCATATCAGCCCTATACACAATATTATAATTCTATTAGATCTAACCAAATGATGATAATTTTAGAATCTAAAAAAGTCTTTGCTTATCATATACATCATCTCAACAATATTTCTATCACTTCTCATCATGATTAGAGCTTTCATTTAAATAAGAGAACATCCGTCGTATTAACCTGCTAAAATATAGTGATGCTTACACTGACATGTTCCTTTTAAGTTAGTTAATATGGTTCATAAAACATTTTATCAATAGCTCAAAAAAGAGGCTTAAATTATCTATGTGGATAAACAATTTATTGATGTTTAGAAATCCATTAGAATATTTTAAATTTGAAATGTTTAAGCAAGGATTATTTAATATTTCAATTGCATTGAAAAATTTTTAGACAATTTTCAGTTGTAAGAACTGATATTGATGGAATATTACAATTGATAATTTAGGCTAGGGCAACAAAATTAGGATATTAAATTAAATGCTCATCTCATTAGAGAAACTTTGAGTAAAGAATAAATTACTATAGTATGGACTCTAGATAAATATAAACTCAATAATTAAGCACTATGCAAGGAATTTAATTTTATGTTAAAGAAATGTAACACGCCAAAAGAACTAGCCCTTAGATGTTTGCCTTGTCTCTCAAACTTTTATTCTGTAATTAAATCAGTTGAATTTTAGGTTTATAAATCTGACAATTAGGACATTGATGCTTCTGATTATTTCTCGTTAGAAAAGAATGCTGAACTAATTGAAAATATGATTAATAGGGATGAAAGTAAATTGTGGGAGTTCTTTTTCTTCAGTTTTGAAAATAAATGGATTCTGAAAAGTATAGCTGATTGGGAATTAAATAGTTTTAGATAATGAATGCCGAAATATTTTCATCACGTGAGTAAAAATAGAAAATCGATTAAGAATATGAAACGAAAAGGAGATGCACTGAAGGGAAAACTAAAATATATGGATCTTTCTAAAATCACTATGAAGTTGTGGATTTCGATAAGTTAGAGTAGTGGAACAGGATTGATTGATACAAAGTCATTTTTTGGAATTAGATTTATTTCAAGATTATGAGTTTTTCAAAATACTTACTTGCTTGATTATTCACTATCAATAATGAATGAAGATTGATTGGGGAGAGTATTAAAGAAATGTGAGTAGATTAATGGATATACCATACCTTCGAATGCTTTCCCTTCCCAAGAAGATACAAAAATCTATTATTAGCTATCATTTGTCAAAATGGCAGAGAAAGCTTTTAGCAATGCATCATAATTTCAATATCTTTACTTAAACACCAGAAATATTTGCTTATAGGTTCATAAATACTATCAGGTCAACAAGATTTTAGATAATAATATAAATTTTTATAATTAAAAATGGGTAGTTAATGCTCATAGTGTTAGACTTGTTAGAAAAGAGAAGAATAGGTAGTAGTTTTATCAGAGATCAGACAGCAGAGCTCTTAAAATATGAATCAGTATTCTTAGTAACCACCTGAAGAAGAAAATGATGAAAGTTCATGTAATCCATGAGAATAATTAGTGAGCAAAGGAATAGAGTTGAGGAAAAATACAAACTTAGAATAAAAGTATTAATCAGAAGCCCCAATTCCAACTCCTATCGTGACTCCAGCTATAGCCCCAACCTAATTAGTTACTTTCAGTGCTCAAATACAATAACCATAACTGACCCAAGAATCTTAAAATGATCCCAGCATCTTTAAAAAAGACGGAATGGATAAAAGAAATTAAGAAGATTTGAATTAGGATGAGGTCAATAAGCAAGGTCCTAGAGAGAAGAGGCCTAAATATGTGTTTAAGAGTGGAGCAATTTATGAGGGAGAATGGATAGGAAATATGAGAGATGGTTTTGGAATTCAAATATGGTCTGATGGAGCAAAATATGAAGGTGAATGGAAAGCTAATTAAGCTAATGGCAGAGGTAAGTTTTGGCATGTGGATGGAGACTATTATGAAGGTGAATGGAAAAATGATAGAGCAAATGGTGTTGGTAAGTATATCCATGCTGATGGAGCTTAATTTGAAGGGGAATGGCTTGAAGATTTGTAACATGGATAGGGTAGAGAATTTTGGGCTGATAATTCGAAATATGAAGGAGAATATAGATAAGGAAAGAAGTAAGGTTTCGGAGCCTATTAATGGGCTGATGGCTCTACTTATAAAGGAATGTGGAATGATAACAAATTAAATGGGTTTGGAGTTTATATTTGGCCTGATGGGAGGGTAAGATGATTAGTTCATACAAAGCGCTATGAAGGGTTTTGGTAGCATAATCAAATGAATGGAAGGGGCATTTACTATTGGCCAGACGGAAGGAATTATGATGGGGAGTACTTAAATGATAAGAAACATGGATTTGGAGTGTATAAATGGAATGATGGTCGATGCTATGAAGGATATTGGTTATAAGGGAAGCAACATGGAATAGGAAGGTATATGTTAAACGATGGACAGAGTTAAGTCGGAGTTTGGGAGAATGGGATAAGAAAAAAATGGTTAGAAGGAGAAAGTAAAATAGAGAGACCTAAGGATTGGGATAAATATGTTCATCCGAAATTAGAAGACTTTTAATGATATATATCATAATGTTATTTTATCACTCTGTTTTTGCTTTAGTTGCCTATTTAGAACAACAATTGGATGAAGCCCAAATTAATAATCCTCCAATCAAAGCAGTTAGCTTAAAGCATTCAACTTATGTGACATGATCATTGCTGAATAATGGATTACTTTAGATGACAATTTGAAGTAATAAACCAAGGACAGGAAAAACGACGAAACTTAAAAATTAACTTGTGTTTAATACCCTCCACAGATAAAAAGTAGGACAGTGCTTGTCAAAAGGCCTCCAACAATTTGTTTAGCTAAAAGGGCTGGGACATGCTAGAAGACATCAGCTGGAATATACTTGAATATGTAATTGAATTCAAATACTTGCTTGACTAATGCTTATTGTTAGAAATTAGCATATTTGGTATCGAATTGTTTTCCTAAAGTAGCATCTGTGAGGAGGAGGTAACTGTAACCAGCAAGAGCTGTGAGAAGGAAGACTTTTCCGAAAAATGACATAATTATTTTATTTATTAAAAACACATGTCGTGTTTCTAAATTATATTTTCTAGAATAGTAATTCACAACTTCAATTTTAAATTTCTAGTCAACATATCAGCCTCTTTCATTTTAGCCAAAATCCTTCTTTATTTTTCCATTTCCTGTTTTTTTGGACTTTCATTCGACTTAAATTATTCAGGTTGAACTTTGTGAAAAATAAAAAAATACATAATTTCATCATCAAACGATCTTATACATAATGTTCTTAGTTATCAGCTAAATGACAATTAAATCTTCCTTTAGATGTAATCTATTTGATCTCCTTTGGTTGAGGTAAAGTGAAACTCTAGATTTCTTTCTTAAAAATATCCAATCTTTCTTAAAAATGTGGTATGTTGTATAGCTAAACATTTTAGTCTATCACATTCTGACTTCGCTTCGATTAAGAGGTTTGATTGTATGTCCTACTCTAAAATAAAGCTCTAGATTCTGCATTTTATAATTCTTAATTCAATGTCCCATAAGATTACATAGATTTCAATTTTTACTCTTCTAGAGGGACAATCACTCTTGACTATTGACTTGTCTATGCCCTTGTCTCAGCTGTATGTGGTATAGTATCACACTTGATTCTAGAGGCTGATTAGGCTCTTTTCTCTGGAGGATCATGCAAAACTTAGGGTTGAGTCAATTCACGACCATTAATGATTTTAACAGAACCTCCTGATACGAAATCCTACATTTTGGTTTCAGTCCTCATTTTTAAGATCTCTATTTTGCCTTCCTTCTTGGCCTTGAAGTAATCATGAATAGTGCCAGTTATATGTTATAATTATTTGCCTATCAAGTACTTTTTATTTTTTTCTTTCCCTTCAAGTAAGTACTTCGTGGCTTCTATTGTAGTTTTGGGTCTTTTGCGAGTGTTGTTTATGTAGGGTTCTTACAAAGTGCGAGGTAGTTGTGCATAACCATCAAACTTGTCTGTTTAAGGAGTATAAAGATTGGGCTTAGTTTATAAAACTTTAGTGCTGTATGGCATATATGCTTAATCCTAAATTGATAAATTGCAGTTTACGCCTTATGCCTTGGCTACTCTTTCACTGTAATTTGCCTTGCCAGTTAGTTCAATGTTAAACTTTTTAATATAGTCACCGTTCTTATTGATCTGTTTTACTTCTGCAGTTACATTATCAATTAAGAAGTATTTGTCAGTCTCCATGTCTTTGCTTTTAACTATCACTTCATTACATACCTAATTGTATGACTAGCCATTTTTGTATATGTAAAATCAATCTGTATAAATAATTAAACAAATTTGTATTAGCTAACCTTTCCTTCTTAGTGGTCTTTTTATATGGATAATTTGGAAGAGAGTAAAAATCATCTAGGTGATCTAGATCTTAATAAAAATTCACTTTAACACATCAAAATTTTCAAAGGCTGCTTATGTTAAGAAATAAAAAATACTAAAGAAAAGGATCATATTTGTTAAAAGAAGGTAATTTTAGCTTTGGAAAAAAGACAAAAGCTTCCCATTAGATTATGAAGATATTATGAATTTTGAAATTAAATTGAACAAATATTTTATAATGTAAAAGTGACTGATGAGTGAATTAAGATGATTTAATAATGACATAACAGAGTAATGAATATTCTGAAAATCTAGTAAAAAAATGAGATAGTAGTTAATTGATTATTAGATATAAAAACCTGATTATGAAATTTATCAAAGATAAGTAAAAAATTATCTAAAATATTCTAAATCCTTGTTATAAATAAAGGATCAACAAATACGCTGTCTTTGTATTTAGATTATAATATTGAATGTTTTTCTTTTTATCAATTTACAAAATTTATAAGTAATTTAATTATACACTTTGTATTCAATGTAGGTAGAAACTTACGAAAAAGGAAGAGAAGAATATCAAAGGAGATATGGTAAATTAAAGGATTATATTTCATCTTTGAAAATAAAAGACACTTCTGAAATCACAAAATTTGATAGTTCTGACTTTGATTTAACAAAATTGTAAGCAAGATTAGCTGATTAAGCTGTGAAAGAGAAATTTGAAGAAAATATTATTGGATCAAAAGATATTGTTTTAGAAATCAATCATGATTTTAATGTTTTAGTATTTGGAATTGGGAGTAAGATTGAATTACTAGAAAAAGCAATGCTAGAGTTAATGAAGTATTTCTATTTTNGTACTTCGTGGCTTCTATTGTAGTTTTGGGTCTTTTGCGAGTGTTGTTTATGTAGGGTTCTTACAAAGTGCGAGGTAGTTGTGCATAACCATCAAACTTGTCTGTTTAAGGAGTATAAAGATTGGGCTTAGTTTATAAAACTTTAGTGCTGTATGGCATATATGCTTAATCCTAAATTGATAAATTGCAGTTTACGCCTTATGCCTTGGCTACTCTTTCACTGTAATTTGCCTTGCCAGTTAGTTCAATGTTAAACTTTTTAATATAGTCACCGTTCTTATTGATCTGTTTTACTTCTGCAGTTACATTATCAATTAAGAAGTATTTGTCAGTCTCCATGTCTTTGCTTTTAACTATCACTTCATTACATACCTAATTGTATGACTAGCCATTTTTGTATATGTAAAATCAATCTGTATAAATAATTAAACAAATTTGTATTAGCTAACCTTTCCTTCTTAGTGGTCTTTTTATATGGATAATTTGGAAGAGAGTAAAAATCATCTAGGTGATCTAGATCTTAATAAAAATTCACTTTAACACATCAAAATTTTCAAAGGCTGCTTATGTTAAGAAATAAAAAATACTAAAGAAAAGGATCATATTTGTTAAAAGAAGGTAATTTTAGCTTTGGAAAAAAGACAAAAGCTTCCCATTAGATTATGAAGATATTATGAATTTTGAAATTAAATTGAACAAATATTTTATAATGTAAAAGTGACTGATGAGTGAATTAAGATGATTTAATAATGACATAACAGAGTAATGAATATTCTGAAAATCTAGTAAAAAAATGAGATAGTAGTTAATTGATTATTAGATATAAAAACCTGATTATGAAATTTATCAAAGATAAGTAAAAAATTATCTAAAATATTCTAAATCCTTGTTATAAATAAAGGATCAACAAATACGCTGTCTTTGTATTTAGATTATAATATTGAATGTTTTTCTTTTTATCAATTTACAAAATTTATAAGTAATTTAATTATACACTTTGTATTCAATGTAGGTAGAAACTTACGAAAAAGGAAGAGAAGAATATCAAAGGAGATATGGTAAATTAAAGGATTATATTTCATCTTTGAAAATAAAAGACACTTCTGAAATCACAAAATTTGATAGTTCTGACTTTGATTTAACAAAATTGTAAGCAAGATTAGCTGATTAAGCTGTGAAAGAGAAATTTGAAGAAAATATTATTGGATCAAAAGATATTGTTTTAGAAATCAATCATGATTTTAATGTTTTAGTATTTGGAATTGGGAGTAAGATTGAATTACTAGAAAAAGCAATGCTAGAGTTAATGAAGTATTTCTATTTTGATTTGTTATAGGAGTAATCCATAATCATATTTTTTTGTTTTGAAAGGATTCAAACCTTTAGTTAATATGAAGATGTTCTTGTAAAAGATGGGTGAAGTATTGAAAATAGAATCACATGTGAGAAATCCAGAATAAATCATAAAATGCATTGAGAACACACCTCATTCAATCATTATTATTGCACATAGTATTGATGGTCGTCATTTATTGAATGAACAAGCATAAAAATTACTTGGATAATTAAGTAATTGTCCAAATGTTCGTATGGCTTGTAGTTTTGATAATTATCGCTATCCCATGATATGTAAAATTGAAAGAGCATTCTTTTAGTGTGTGCACACTAATAAACCATACTTTTAGGAAATATTGTAAATCTTTGAAGATTAAGTGGGAAAATAGAAACAAGAAGAAGGATTATGGTATGTTTTATCAAGTATGACTTAAAAACAGAAAAGCATTGTATATTATTTTGCAGGAAGAGTATTAGAAAGCAGAGATGTATATATAATATTTATAAAATTTGAGGGATTGAATTTTTAAGATCTGTATGATGCTCTTTCAGATGAAATGATCGTATCTGGCAAATCGTAATTGAATGATAATCTTAAGGAATTGATGGATCATAAGATTATAATTGAAAAAGGTGGGAAGTACACAATGCAATATTCAAATACAATTCTATAAGAATTATCTTAAAAGTTTGATGAAGTTATTAAATAATGATATTTTGTATTGTTTAAATGTATTTCTATCATTTGTATGCATCTTGTATTTTTCTAAAAGAATCTATCATATGATTTGTACATTTCTCTATTCAGATTATAACTAATTATATACCCAAACATTGATGATTATCTTTAGTAAGTGTATCATCTTTGGAACTTAAGATTCCACAACGAATTTAACAGATACTGGTGAATCTTAAAAATAAGCCTAAAGTTTCTCTTTATTAAATATTGTCCATAATAATATAATTCACACGTGTGAATGATGTGAAATAAAAAGAAAAATGGTCATGTTTCAATAATAATTTTAATGCCAAGCAAAACCAAGATCCTGAATTATATGAGACCAGCAATGGCCATAATTCCGGATGTGGCTGAACCAGAAAGAAGAGTATATACTATTCATATTTAAAATTAGATTTTGTTCAAATATAGAGCTTTATGGACTGCTATTGCAACTCTCTTGTATTTGATTTGTTCATAAATTCCTCTTTATGGTATTTACAAAGCATCTGCTGGAGATCCTTTCTATTGGCTCAGAGTCATATTGGCATCAAATAGAGGAACATTGATGGAATTAGGTATTTCACCAATGGTAACAGCTTCTATGATTATGTAATTGTTGGCAGGTGCAAAATTAATTGATGTTGATTAAAATGTAAAGGAGGATAAGCAACTTTATTCAGGAGCATAAAAATTGTTAGGAATTTTAATTGCCTTTGGTGAAGCATTTGCATATGTTTGGTCTGGAATGTACGGCGATTTAGATAAATTGGGAGCAGGCAATGCTATATTGATCATTATTCAATTAGTTTTTTCAGCTATTGTAATGATTATGATTGATGAATTATTATCTAAAGGATATGGAATTGGAAATTCAGGAACATCCTTATTTATTGCTATTAACATTTGCGAGAATATAATGTGGAAGGCATTCTCTCCAATTACACATAGAACGGAAATTGGTTTGGAATATGAGGGAGCAATTATTGCACTATTCCATGGATTATTTATTAGAGATGATAAGATTACTGCAATTTAATCAGCTATTATGAGAGATTCACTACCTAATCTCACTAATTTATTAGCAACTGTCTTAGTTTTCATGATTGTTATCTACTTTTAAGGATTTAAAGTTGATATTCCAATCAAAAATAATAAAGTTAGAGGAGGATTAACATCTTATCCAATTAAATTGTTCTATACATCTAATATTCCAATCATTCTCTAAACTGCTTTAGTTTCTAATCTTTACTTCCTTTCACAAATCCTATATAGAAATTTCAGAGGCAATTTCTTAATTAGATTACTTGGTTATTGGTAAGAATTAGAAAATGGATAAACTGTTCCTATTGGTGGATTAGTTTATTATGTCTCACCTCCCAGATCAATTTCAGAAGCCATTTTTGATCCAATTCACACTATTTTATATACTGCATTCATTTTAGGAACTTGTGCAGTCTTCTCAAAGACTTGGATTGATGTGTCTGGATCATCACCAAAAGATGTATTTAATCTGTAAAATCCTTTTTTAGGTTGCCAAATAACTCAAAGAATAAGACATGTAAATAGTGGGTTACAGAGATTCTTCGATGAAGGAAGTACTCAAAAGATACATTCCAATTGCTGCTTCCTTTGGTGGAATGTGTATAGGAGCTCTTACAATTTTGGCTGATTTCTTAGGTGCAATTGGTTCAGGTACTCTTTCTTTAAAAATGTTTTAGGAACTGGAATACTTTTATCTGTAACTATTATTTATGGCTATTTCGAAACTCTTAAAAAGGAAAAAGAATAAGGAACCTTGGAACTGTTTTGATATTGATCATTTATAAATTTATGACGTAGTATTATAAATTAAATTAAAAGTCATTATTATTTTGGGTTCAAAACTAATATATTAAATAGCCGTCTAACAGATACCAAGGTATTGTTGACACTTTGTTACAATAGAAAGTGTCTTGGAAACACTTTCAGATCACTAACTCCAGCAGTCCGCATGTTATAGACTGCAGATTCAGTTTCACTCTAAGTATTCATAGATTTTCTCTTTTATTCATTGTATACTATTTTGGCCTCATGATAAGTAAGGTTTAATTATTTTGCTGCATCTTTCAAGAGTATTCCTTGATTCACCAAATCAAATAATTCTTTCTTTTATTAACAAGTTATAGTTTTATTAGAGACTGGTACCTTCTTAATCTTTTTCATTTCTATTTCTACTTGTTTCTTTATTTCACTCAGAATGTTCATGTTAATTTATTTACGTTTTCCTCTTTTAATTTTGCCTAATCTACTCTCATATTATGAAATCGAATAGTGCGAATTAGTATAATTATGATGTAAATCATTATAAAAAAAATAATTGCATACTACGTCATTTTTATCATTATTTCCATCTAAATCTTAAAGTATATATTTATTTTATAAAAATATTATATAAAATTAAATACTATAATCAATAATGTCCAGCCATCTCTCTCCTTATATTCATTTTAAAACAAGAAATAGTTGGATTAGGCCTTGTCTTATTTCCCAAATCTGCAGGTCTATTATTTTTTACTCTACTATTACTTAAAACTTTCTCGCTCCTTCTTAGAACTAAACTATCTCTTGATCTCTCTCATTGGATCAGGCTTGTACTCAAAATGACCAAATAATCCATCTAAACCTTTCTTCAATCCATTTACTGGTCTAAAAGCTGATTCATGCTTGGCTTATTTTAAATCTGGGGATTTCCTCTAACTTGTAGAAGGCATCTTAGTTTCTCCATATAAATTTTTATCTTTCTCAAAAGTTGGTCCTCCATGCACAGTACTTCGAAATGGCTACTCCTTTTCTTTGCTCTTACTTTACATTCTTGCTTTCTTTATCTTAAAAATTTAAATACTCTCTCAAAGTCACTATATCTATTGTATTCGTCAGTCATATAAGGAATTGATTTATCCATCACCTTACATCTTGGGTTTGTTGTAACATTGCGTGGTGCAGAATACACTCGTCCATCCGATTATTTTCTACTCTCCACCTTTTTGTAATCGTAGTCTTTCATGTGCTAATAGGCACTCCCAATCAATTCTTTATAACCTGATGGAGGTTTGAAGGGAGCCTCCTTATTGATTAGCTTCTTTTGCTCCTTCTCATAATGTACTAACACTTTTTCTGGATCTATGTATGGATCCCCGACTGTTGTAAAACTCAAAGGTCCAAAATATGAAGATCTAATTCTGCCAGTCCTAGTAGCACTAACCTTAATATTAGAGGGTTCTGTTATGGGCTTCCCATTCTCTCCTCTTTAAGCTAAACAAATTTATTCTCTTGAATTACGTTTCTTTCTCATCTCCATGCTATCATCTCCTAATCCTAAAGGAACAGGAGATGAAAACAATCCAAATCTTTATTTTTGAGCATTCATTTCTGCATCTTTTAACATTTCTTTGCGAATTTACTTTAGTTCTTGTTCTCTTTCTTAACTATTAGACATTATATAAATTATTATAGTTATTATTCTATAATGAAATCTAAAACCATATTTTATGTAGGAGCAATATTTGGGATTTATTACTTCACAAAGTCTGCTGTAAAATAAGTAAGGACTTAATAATATTAGTTATTAAAATTCAAATCTTTATTAGGAGAGAGATCATCAATTAATTATTTATTTAAAAAGATTGAAAAGTAAAATCAAGAAAAGAATGGATTATAGTTTTTCAAAAAAATGTATATTGCGGGATCCTCCCAAAGAATAGTGAATTTAAGAGAATCAAATCCAAATTTAAAGACTTTTTTTCTAATTTCATAAATAAAATTAAGACAGGGTTAAGATTCATTTTTTTCATGCAATATAGTAGATCGTTCACCAATTTTCAATTTAAGAAATGCTTATAATTTGGAAGTTTAAATTAACACTTTAAATGAGTTTAGTTTCAATTTAGAGAAAGCTCGTATTATGTTTTAGGAGGAGATGAGTGTTTATAGAGCATTATTGTTTCATCTAAACCTAATGAAGAGAGAGATAATAGCTGGTCTTCCTGTAATCAATATAATTAGATTTATAATAGTATAACAAATAGTATTTAATTTTTGGTGATTTCATTCATAATCCAAAAAATAAAGTGTTAAGGTGTTATAGAATTAGAAAATTAACTGAGATTAAAGATTATCCTTTTCTCCGATTCTAATTCTATTTTTCAAACATAGTTTCAATTCTAATAAAAATTGGATTGGTTGTTAGTCTATCACATTTCCTATATAATTCAGCCAAAAAAATTTTATATTAAGATGTTAATATAAAAGATATCTTGGTTTCTTAATATCATTAAACATTATCATGTTTTATTTGTAAAGAAAGAAGGGCTAATATAATATATGAACCATGTTTTCATTTGAGTTGCTGTATGGAATGTTCCTAAAATAAAGTAAATTGTCCAGTTTGTTAAAAGAATATATAGAGATAAATAAAAGTTTTTAATGAGTGATACTAAATTTAAATTAATATTATAATTATAATTAATAATAATAATAATTGATGAATTATGGTATATTCATTTGCTTGATTGCATTAACTCATCAATTACTTGTTGATCATGTGTGTTCATGTGAATAATTATAAAGCTAAGATGATTGTAATATTGGCATAAAATAATGTTTATGGAGTGATATTTCTTGCAATACAATATAATGTTAATCTTTTGATGGCAAGACAGAAAAAGAATGTATAGATTTCATTGGGTGTGCAATTAATGATGTAGGTAATTGCAGACCTTTTTCTGATTGTGTTGATTATCATGTCAAAGACCCTAAGGAATGTGAAACTAAATGGCCTACATGTGTAGCAGGAACCAATATAATAGATGGAAAGTATGAGTGTATAGAGAAAGGTGATGATAATATATATTATGTTTGCAATAAGATTGAAGATAAAGGTATATGTACAGCTGATTCAATTGAGAATTAGGCAGCTATAAAATAAGCTGATGGTTAAGTATGTGATTGGATTATAGAGGATAATGTTGGTAAATGTATAGCTTATGATCCAAATAAGTGTTCAAATATCATTTCAAAATCTAAATGTGATCTATATAATTGTAGATGGGATTCTGAGAAAGAGGAATGTTCAGAACCTTATTGTATAGAAATAACAGATAAAACTAAATGCACATTTATAAGAGGTGATCAGACAGGCACTTTTTAGATTTGTTAATGGGAAAATGAACAATGTTAAGATGCTTTAGATACTTCTTTTCTTACAAAAGATAATTGTTTAAAGAATACTTTTTATTCTGCTTCTTGGAATGGTACAAATTGTAATTTATGTTAAAATGATGGATTTAGTACTCTACTTTCTATAGTAATAATGATAATATTAATATTATGAATTATTTTATATATAATTATTGCTCAAAAAACGTTCATAAATTATTTAACATGTTTATTTTAATATGTATATTAGTCTTAACTTACTCTATTCAATTACCAATAGAAGAAACTGATAATATTGAAGTGTTGTAACTAGTTTCCAGTGATCAATTCTCGGAATAGCAATTAAAAAAAGTTGAAAACAATTAATAGTTGTTTCTATTAGAAATTGCAAATTATTTGGAAGGAACCACAATAAATACATTATTAGGTAAAACAAAATAATAACCATAGGTTTATAAACTAAAGATAGTCAATCAAAACGAATAATTATTGCAACTATACTCTCAATTGTATTAATTGTTATTTGTTGTGTACTCATTCAATTAATATTGGATATGTCTAAAAGATGTAAAATAAAGTTGAGTAGAGAAAGTACTCTAATGGAAGCTTAATGAATTTTGTATTATCAATATACTAATGGTTGAGATTTTGAACTTGTTTAATATTTAGATTAATCATAACAATATCATTCCTGACTTAAATTTCTACTAAGAATATCCTCAATATAACATCTAACAGCATCAAATTCATTCAATAGAACTTCTCTAGCTTTTCTTAATAATTTCAATTATTCTTTTCTCTCTTTTGATCTAACTCCATAATTCACCTAATAATTAAGACATATAAATACTTTTGAATCTTCTTTGCATTTTTATAAATCCTAATAAGATTATTTAAGATTGGCCAATCTTTATTCACCATCCTTCTAATCCATTTATGCTGCAATTATGTGTGCTTCTACACCATCCTATTCATCATAAAGAATGGAGAGCTAGCAATTAAGATAGAAATTCTAAATACTTATAAGTTTAAATAATCTAATTCTCCATTAATTTAATCTTTAATTCTTTAATGAAGATTTTCTCTATCATCTTCAGCAGTTAATTATACTCTACTAGTACTATCTACTTAATCATATAATTGTTATAATAAATTAATGATAGCATTTGCTCTAACAGTGTCAATAACAGCTTCAGTTTGAGTAGAAACAGTTACAAATTCATCTTTTAATTAATTGATATTAAAAACTTATGATCTTCAAAAATGGTTCATTATTTTATAGTGTCTCTTAAGCTTCAACTTAAAGATCTTTCATTTATTATAAGACATCTGTAGTAGAGAATTGATGAGAATTATCTTCATAAGTATATTATTGAACAAATGCAACATTTCTTGGACTTCTAGGTAACAATTCTCTAATCAAATATCTAGCTCTTTTTATTAAACTACAAATAGCAAATGAATCATCTCTTGTAATTTCAAAATAAGCATTCTATTTTATACTCTACTTTATTATTATACTTCATGTTATCTGATTTCTTCCAATTAAATTAGAGTAGATTCATATTCATTAACAATATTTTCTTTCTCATTTATTTGAGTATCATATCTATTGGATTCATCTTCCAACAATCTAATTGTTGCATCAATACTACTATAATCATATTATGCTTCAGCTATTTTCTCTTTCAAACTCTCTAGTTATTAATTGTCTAGTATAAAATTCGTTTTTTGTTAATACATAGTTCTTAATCTTTGGTTAATTATTCTAGATCATCCTACTCATCTTAGGCTATCTATCTTTCAATAGTATTCAATAAACTTTCTATTCTCACCAATTATTCCTTCTTTTCTCAAAATATATAATACATTATTACCAGAATCTTTTCTGTATTCACTTTGTATATCATTTAATACATTCATTCCGAATTTATCTTTAAACATATTATCCAAAAGAGTTTGATCATCTTTGGTCAATTCTGTATTTACATTTTATGAGACAACAGCACAAATTACCAAAAACACTATATAAAGTTTCATATTATTAATATAAATGAATAATAAAGTAGATAAGAATCATCTTCATTCTAATTTCTGGTAAAGAGTTTAAGAGGAATAACTTGGTGTTACATTCAAATCTTCTTGGCTAAATAAAATTACTGAAGATGCTGAAATACAATACGTAAAGGAATTTAAAGTACTTTCCTCATTCTCATCACCTAGATTAAAACAGCCAAAGATAAATTTAAGCATATACTTTAAGTTCCTTTGATTGTAACTGATAAGTAATTTTTGAGAAGACGTAAAACCTTTTAAACCTATACTAAAAATGCTACATTAGATCTCTATTATCTTTAATTAAAAAAAGCCAAAGGATTAGGAAAGAGTATTTCAGAAAAAGCTGATTACAATCAAGTTATATAATAAACTAAGAATAATCGATTATAAAATGAGTATTTGAATACATTTAAAAAGAATTAAGGAATTATGTTTATTAATTTTATAATATCTTTATAGGTATGACAATACATTATGGTCAGACAGATATTACAATGGCATAATATAACAATCAAGATTAGCTAATTTACAAAAAGTCCTATAACGTAATAAATTTAAAGGCAGAGAAGAACTTCTAGCTTAATTTGAATAATTCTTTGCAAGTAAATAACTTGTACCTGGAGCGAAAAAGTCAGTGCCAGAATTAATCAAAGAAATCTCAACTGCTTTTGGAGACGTCATACCAAAAGATACAGAATAAGATGATAAACAAGTTTATTTATTTCTTTAATAAAGGAAGCTCATGTAAGAGATAAATCACTAGATTTATAGCGAAATGAAATAACTATCAATACTCGTCCTTGTACACAATAAGCTGCACTTAGAACATCTACAGAACCTAGACCATAAACTCATCACAATTATTATTCATAATATAGCAAACCAAGTTTTGATCTAATAGATACCAATACAAGATGTTCTACAAATTAAGTTAAATAAAGAAAATTTAAATAAAATGCTGTCTAAAGAATTAAACATATTCTTACTTAAACAGATGATGTCTAACTTGAAAATAAGCAAGTCTTTAAGTAATTCCTACAATATTGCTTTCTAGATAATTGCAAACTTTTCAAGATTAAGAAGGAAATTAAGCTACTCATAGATCAGAAGTTATCAAAGCCAAAGTCTAAAGAGAATAATTGATAAGTGCTTTCTCAACTAGGAATAATGTTGATGTAAGGAAGAAATTTGAGAAAAGAAAAGTATATGCTGAAATTGTATGAGTTGTAATCATTTTAAATCTTAATATCTGTGAACTATAAAGTATATTTATGATTATTATTATTATTTCAATTGAATTCTATTTCAAAAATATAAGAATAATAAAAAAAGATATATATAATATTTTATTTTTGTTATTTAATTATATATATAATATAATCAAAATAAATTTACAATATAGTATTGGATGAATTATTGTAAATTCCAGTGAGATAGATATTATTTTGATTATTAAGGGAATCATTTGATTTTATTAGGAATTAAAACCAAATTCTTTTGATAATAAAGGTTAGTATATTAAATTCGTAAAATGAATTAAAAATATTTTATTACTGAACAAAAAAATTATAGAAAGATTATAATTAGTAATATCATTATTAAATTATTATAAAAATAGTATAAGAAACAATAAATTTACCATTTAATTTTTGTTGCAAAACTTATATTTTATCATTAAGTAGACTCTAATAATTAAGCTTATTAAATATATCTAAATTATAAAAATTAATAAATATGTTGGATAATAGAGGAAATAAAGATAATAAGAACTATTAACAGAATTTAAAGTAGGCAGAATCATTTTATTATTTAGATATAAATATATATTATCACTATCTTATATGTTCAAGGATATACATATTATTAATTTCTGATAGTTGAACCATTTTAGTATGCATTTTTTGAATGTTAAATAAAATAGCTTTTTTTTATTATATATTTTTGATCTTTAGTTATTTTAAATGTATCTATTATTTTTAATAAGGCATCGTAATAATTATAGAAAATGTTTATTTATTTAAGAGATGAGATATGAATGTAATAATTAAATGAGATCTTAATAATAATTGATAGTATAGATATGGATTATGTTAAATGCATTTAGAATATTTAAGTATTTATTCATTGGGAATGTATCATGAAACATCAATAAATTTTGATTTATTTTATTATATAAAATGTAGAATGATAATAATAAAAATAATGATACTCAATTAGAGTTGTTCAAAATAATTCAAAATACTTACAATAGTTTTTATGTCATCACTCTTAATAAGAAGGGAAATCTACTTATGGGTGGTGATTTTGATGGGAATATGTTCTTATACAATAATTTAAATTTGATGAAGAGTTATAAATATCACAAAAAATTCATAATCACACTAAAATTTTCAAATTCTGGGAAATACTTAGCTAGTGGTTCAGCTGATTGCAATATTGGAAGAATAGAGTTTGATGGAATAGAATAAGTTTAATTTAGATTATTAAGTCATCATACAGCTTATGTGATGAAGGTAGATTTCAGTCCAAATGAAAATTACTTAATAACTGCAGGTTCAGACAAGTAACTATTAGTATTTAATTCTTAATCTTGTGAATTACTGTCAAAATATTACTTTCCTTATGGATTAAACTTTGTATAGTTTATAAATCATACTAAATTATTCATATATGGTACATTTGGACCAATAAACTTAAATAATTTTCCAGAGATTATGAAAAATGAAAAAATGAAATCTCTACAATATCAGATCAAATAAGTATCATTGATTAATAGTGTCTCTAATTCTTAGTTATTCTTAGTAAATGGATAGAAAAGATCAAAAATTTACCTTGTCAATTAAGTAAATTTTAAGATTCTTAGACGTTTTATAACTAAATACTAACATGATGTAATGCATCTACATTTATCAAATTCTAAAGCAATTTTTACAACAAGTGAAAACATTGAAATTGTAGATTGGATGACAGCTAAATTATTGCATATTTTAGATTCTTGTACTAGTATGGGTACATCTATAGTATCTGAAGATGGAGTATATTTATATACAATAAGTAGAAATAGTATTAAAATTTGGGTTTTAAAAAAATGAACTTTTATAATCTTATTTATAATTATATATATATATATATTTAATAAAAAAATGGATAATAATTAATAGGTTAACTTTTTAGAGGATTAAGAATAATTTTATGAAAATGATGAATATGAATAAACTATGGGAAGATAATTTGAATCAGTTGTTGTCATAAAAGATGAAAAAGGTGAAGTATAAAAGAAATATACATTGACAATCCAAATTATTAAAGCAAGTTATTTATTCAAATATATTTACTTAGATTATTAAAAACCTTATTTAGGAGGATTAAAAAATAAGAAATCTGGTGCTTTGTTACATCATGCATTTGCATAAACTAATTAATATCGTAGAGAACATAAGGAGAAAAATCATAGAGATACATAAACTCATTTTGAATCTACTAAATCAACTATTATGATGAAAGAATTTGGTACATAAATGGAAAAAGAAGATCTATTTATTGATTTACGAAATGA